CAAAGATAGTCCCAATTACCCTTGAAGAGTTACAAAATGCAGAAAAGGAAATTGTGAGACACGTTCAAGAAGAAAGTTTCGAAGAGGAATTGGCCATATTGAGAAAGGCATCATCCACGCCATCATCCTCACCCCCCTCAGGTGAACAGAAATCAAAGCATCAGGTCAAGAAATCGAGCAAGATCATCAAACTTGATCCCCGGATGATTGACGGCTTGTTGTGTGTCAGAGGGAGGATAGCCAATGGACCCTTCCAGCAGCGTGTAAAGCATCCAGTAATTTTGCCAAAGTCTCACCACATTGTTCCCCTCATCATAAGCCAGTATCATCATGTTTCTGGTCATTCAGGAGTGGAACATGTTCTTAGCCTGATTGGAGAGAAGTTCTCGATTGTCGGCGCCAGAACAGCAGTGCGAAGATATCTAAATACCTGCGTTGCTTGCAAGAGAAGACAAGCCCATGTTGGTGAACAGAAAATGGCGGATTTGCCACTAGGCAGAATTACACCTGACGAACCTCCATTCACCTATGTGGGAGTCGACTGCTTTGGCCCGTTCCTGATTCGCCGTGGAAGAACAGTAGTTAAGCGTTACGGCGTGCTGTATACCTGCCTGGTGGTACGTGCTGTTCACATAGAAGTGGCCCACAATCTGGACACCGATTTCGTTTCTAAACAGTTTCAGGCGATTTGTTGCAAGAAGAGGATCTCCGGAACTGATAAGATCCGACAACGGCAGCAATTTTGTATCAGGAGAACGCGAGCTTAACCGCTCTATCAAAGAATGGAACCAGGAAAAAATCGCCGATTTCCTACTTCAAAGAAACGTCCAGTGGGCATTCAACCCTCCATGTGGGTCCCACCATGGTGGTCCATGGGAACGTTGCATAAGGACAGTAAGAAAGGTCTTAAACGCACTGGTCAGGGAGCAAGTACTGGATGACGAAGGGCTGTCAACATTCATGTGCGAAGCGGAGTCAATCGTAAACAGCAGGCCCTTGACAAAGGTCTCAGACGACGTCCGCGACCTCGAACCCCTCACGCCTAATCACCTTCTCCTCTTTCGGTACAGCCAACCGTTTCCTCCTGGAATCTTTGCCAAGGACATATACTCCAGACGCAGGTGGAGGCAAGTCCAGTACTTATCGGATGTATTTTGGCGCAGATGGGTAAAGGAATATATCCCAACTTTGCAACAGAGGCAAAAATGGTTCAGGCCGCGCCGAAATTTTCAAATCGGAGACATCGTACTGCTCACAGATGAGAAGTCACCAAGGGGTTTATGGCCACTTGCACGCATAACCGGGATTAAGACAAACCAGCGAGACCGTCTAGTAAGAAGCGTCAAGCTGAAAACAAAATCAAGCACACTCGAACGTCCTATAGACAAGATCGTCTTACTTGAAGGAGCAGCTGAAGTTGCGGAGGAAGCTTAATTGTGGAACTTGCCTATCTGTCTCGTTACCCAGTGACGCTGTACTAAGGAACAATTAATGTTAACATTGCGTGGTAATCCTTTATAGGCTAATGTAAATGCCTATGTAGACCATTTAGGGGCCGGGATGCAGGATTCCAAGTGGGAATTTTTATTTTAGCTTGCCATTTATGTATGCAAATTAGGACTATTTAAACGCTACGGTTTCCTAGCGCGCCAATCTTTTCAATGTTTTCTCTAGCTTCAAGATAATATTGTTGCGGAATCTATTCTACCTAGCTTCACCGTCATCACTACAGTCAGGAAACATTTGTAAGTCTTTATATTCTGTCCTGTATTTTTCATATCGCTCCGCTCTTCTTCACATGTATTTTTATTTATTTTTCTAGTTGAACCTCACTCGCTCTATCCTTCAATTCTCAACGGGCTCCTCGAGTCTCTTCAACAGAGCGTGAGTTCGAAATCTCTAGAAGTAGCGTCAACAAGAACTGTAAGCTACAATATCTTCTTCTTGAATTTCCTCATCAGAGGATATCTCTAGGTCGGCTTTAACTGATTTAAAAGCCCCAGAAATGGCATTAGCGATATTTCTGGACAGTGTTGCCAGTGTTAAATTTCCTCATCACAGGAAATCTCTAGGTCGGCTTTAACCAACTCAAAAGCCTCGGAGACAGCATTAGCCATATTTTCCGGACAATGTTGTAAATCCTTCTTGCATGGCAACTAAGAGAGCTGTCAAAGGTCCTTCACCATGAGAAGGAGAAGAGCCAATTAATCTTGGCACCATTTTCCACAACATTGGACTTCAATGTGCTCGGGCACTTTTACTTCAAGAGCTATTGCTGCTTTCCTCTTTCTGTCCAGATGTTTCCTTCCTTTGACCACTGTCAGTTTCATCGTCAGGCATTTTAATGTGCTTTACGCAAATTATTGCTGAAAATGTTCACTAGACATAAAAAACTTCTGTTCGCTTGGAAAGGTGGCAACACACTGAGTTTGCGCAGGCGCACTGCTATCTCATGTGAAACCTCAGTGCAGTGACAGAATAGAATTGGGTTGAGTGTATGGTGTCATCAGTCTTCTCATTTGCATATTTTACACATTTTCCACTCCTAAATATCTCCAAAACCAATAAAGATATTTGTAAACGGTGAACAGCATTTTTAATCTTTCATGGAATTCTATGTGATTAACCCAAATATTCAAGGAGTAAAAATTTGATCATAGTACCACCCTAAGTTTCAATTTAATGTCAAATAGCATTACTCTGTTAAACCACATCAGTGGTTTAGAGTTCTGTAGCATTATTTAACATGTTGTCATTACCGAGTTATATCTTCTACACATTATCCATACATGTGCAAAATGTCTCCCTGAAGCTTATATTAGGTGTAAAATGTGTAACTGCCAGGCATGCATCTAAAGTTTAAGTTGGGATGCATTCACTCTTGTAAACCACACTTAGATTTTCATTTCTGAAGCATATATTTTACATTTAGTGATTACTGAGTTACATCTTCTGAAGGTATGTGAGAGATAATAACTAGAAAAAATGCAAGGATATTTCATTTAGTGTGTGGGAAGTAGTTATTATGAAAGTAACTAGTGATGACATCTACCAACTATGTGTATTGATCCTATCTATATAGGTATGATGAACTGCAACACTGAGAACCAGTATGTGAGTTGTAATAGCCCATTCCCAACGTCAGGCCATGGGAGATTGGATCTCATTTTTTACCTGAAAGCAAAGCTTGGGGGAGTAATGCGGGTAAGACAAACATTTACACATTTCCGATTCTAAAGATGTTTAATACTGTCAGTTACTGCCTGCACTAACAGTGGTCAAAACAAGACAAATCTGCTCTATTTTCATTTCCCTACCAAAGGAAAAAACTCTCCAGAAATGAAAAAGTATTTTTGACAAAAGACCAAAGATCAAATCTTATCAATCAGCAACTTTGTTCTGTACATTTATGCAAAGATGCTAATATGCAACTTGCAGGAGAGTCAAGTGTTGTAACAGGAGCTGTTTCCCACCAGCCCAGGAAAGGAGGCCATGAATGAAAATGTTTGTAAAGAAATGCCTCCAGGATAGTAGAGTTACCTGAGAAAAGAAAAAGATCAGAGGAGGAAGATGGTAACAACATTTTGCATTCACAACCAAAAATCACACAGCAAGAAGCAGGTTGCCCAATCATGATTATACCGATAGAGAGGAAGAATAAATGGTTGGCAAAAAAAATGTAATTTGCCAAACTGACTTGACTATGCAACAACAGGGGTGACAAAGGAAAGCATTTCACAAGTCACTCAATATATGTTAAAGAGTGATGAATCAGTCAAATTTACACAAGCATTCCATCACTTTTATGCTTCAGTCTCATCACCCTTATGCCATATGCTGAAAACATGAGGAACTGGCAAAAAGGCAAATCTCAGCAATTTCTTTGGCATATTCATAAAATTGTACCATGGTAGCACTGGTGAATCTTTGAACTTTGATTATTGACCACATTTGATCACTGACTCACCAGCTTCATTTTCGGCTTTGCACTACCAGTGGGTGTGTGGTTTCTTTACCTGCATGTTTCTTAGAACCCTCCTGGGCAAGGCTTTACATTTTGTAGAAGATTGAGATGTTGTTATTGTGCAGAATTTCTGACACCTCTGAAGTTGAATGACTGTTGTTTAGTACCTTGGTCTTTGCCTTGGTTGGGTCTCCAGATAATTCAGGAAGATTATCATCATGGCAACTCCGATACAGATCTTTACTCAAGAGAGATGCAACAAGTAACAATTTGTTTAAGATTCGTTTCCAAAATACTTCATGAAGCTCTATCGCTAAAAATACTAGCATTCCGTTGTTGGTATGAATAATAAAATACGTTGTCAGCAACGAGCTGTACAAAGTTCTCCTTAGATCCAGTACTATCAGCATATCCTTTTTAACTTGATGCCTTTCATTAAATTTCACTATATCTTCAACATTCATAGCAACCATACCAAGGTCATTACAGACACAGACTAGACACAGCTCAGTAGAAGTACTAAATCTTTTGATCAGGTGTTTTCTGTAGGGTTGAAGTTGAAAAAAGCAAAGAAGTGGAAAACATGAAAACAGCAATGACCTTGTGGAGGGAACACAGGAAGATGGTTGTAAGAAATATTTCACCATTGAAACCACTGTGCAGTGTTTGCACTACGTTTTGCAAAACAAGCGTCCTGGGCCCCTCAGCTACAAAAATTTAAGGGTCCTGCAGAATAGACCATTTTTGTATTCTCAGTATTGGATTGGAACTAGCTTGTAATGGAGGCCCATTCGGAGGAATATCATTAAAAAGAGATTATTGTCATTTGCATTTGAAAAGATTCCCTGCATTAGCCTCAGTTGCAAGCTAGTTCCAGTCCAATACCGAGAATACCAAAACGGTCTATTGCGTGCTCATATATTGACTGTCTGAAAAAAATGTGTTCCTTTCTGCTGAACAGTTCCTGTTTAAACCAGAAAAACACTCAAGCAATGTTTTATCCCACCTGGAATTTGCCTTTTTGTTTGCTTGTAACAGGTCTTTATGTAAAAGGCATGAAAAAGGATGTCTTGCACGTCTTTCTGGGTGCCCTTTTTCATCCAAAGGCTTTTACGTCATAACCCCTAAACAACAGAATCACACGATGGACAGAGCGGAAGTCTTGTAGTGATCTTATGTGGCCACCAAGTTAAATCCTTCATATGTTTATTGAAGTTTATGAACAGATGACTTCAATCACTCACTTTCTTTTTCTTAAATTAAAGTAAAGGCCTTTAGGGAAGAATGTATTTGTAAAATATTGTAACATTTTTTCTTTTATATGTTATGCTATTTTATTTCATTTGAGTTGAAGTTAATTCCTTGTGCCCTGAGGAAACGAGATGCCCTTTGTTTGTGTCCTATACAAGTTTTAAGCATATAAACCCATGATTTGTGCTTAAAGGCAAACTCTGCCACTGTGACACTATGGATGAAGGTGAGGAATGAAAAGGTAATCAGTGTATCGGTTTGTTCCTTGCAAATGAAATTCCATAGCACTATAATTTATGCTCTAGATAAAACTTTTAACAATCCACAACCTTTAAAGGCATTATTTAACCCAATATTGTCCCTTTCAGCAGCCAATAAGTATATTTTGTGGCTCAATGAAAGATCTATTTAAACATTAAAGTTAGCTTTAAATTATTAAAGACATGATTGGCTTGATTATATATTATTTTAAAGTTCTTTAGAGTGTTTCTAAAGTTGAGCTTTTTACTAATTTTTCTATTCTCAAAAATGGCCAAGTGAAACCTGCAGAACATTCTCTTACAATAGATTCTGCATCACTGTTACTTGCAGTGGCATTCAATGCAATCAACATTTACCACAAGTCAACAGCTGTTCTCAGCAAGTAAAACAATCACACTAAAAATAAAGCCATTCTTAGCCAAAGAAGAATATCTCATTACTGTAGCAACTGCAGTGTTAGCAGAGGTTTGATCAAAAATTTGTCTGATACAAAAACCTCACATCTTACAGAGAGAAAATAATGAACAAGGCAAACAAAATGAGGGGAGATGGAGCATTACAAAGTGTCCAGACATTAGATGATAAACTCTACATAAAGGCATAACCAGAGGGTAGAGCAATCAAAATAAATGAGTTAGAAGACCTAGAAAATGTGTAAAAAAAACTGCACTTAAAATGGCGACAGAAACTGAACTGGAACAAGAGGAAGGAACTCTCTCAGACTTTTTTTGTCTGATTTTTTATGTATAGGATTGTTATGTCAATAAAAATGTACCAAAAAAAAAAACGAAAAACGTCTTAATGGGTTTCTCAAATGATTAACCTTCCAAGATATTACAGGAGGCAACAAGTCCAGTGCCGATATTTCAATCTTGAGCATTCTTTCCTGATGGGTTCCACATCTTCTACATAGTTAAAAGTTGTTTGTCATCTCTTCAATGTTGTATTTTGTAAACCC